ATTACATGGCTTGATTAACCAAGAAAATCTGCCAAGAACAATTCTCATACACAAAACATAATAATTTGATGTTTCATAAAAAACACTATTGAAGCTTAAAATCAAGTTTAAGCCACTGAATAATAAATAACTAAACATAAGTTAACATTTAACTACAGTCTTAAAAACTAAGAAAATTTTAAAGAAAAAAAAGTTGCCTATGACTGCTTATGATTAAAAATCCCTCCAATCAACATTATATTATATTGACAGTGATTCATTTCATTCTACCATATCAGCACCTTTCTTCTTTACTCTTACAATGTTTCTTCTTTTCGGTGGTTGAAAGTTTTTACTCCAGATCACAGCAGTAAGCCACATCGAATTTACCAGAGGTTAGTTCAACCACAGCAACATTCCTGGGCAGGCTCAGTACCACATGTGACATATGTAGTTGCCTTCACTTCTTCAAGGAACTGATCATTTCTGTACAGACGGTACAGACCAGAACAGAGGTACAGTGCGAATGACCATAGGAAGGATTAAGGATTTCATGATCAATCAAAATGAAAGTTGGGACATACAAGGACAGGTTTTTACCACACATGTATTATTTTTTCATATGAATTTACTCTTTCATAGCTTTATTTTATATGTACATTATTTTCTGCAAAGCTTTGCCTTGACCTAGAAATTTGTTTGGAACCATCTTTAAATGCAATCTATATTTTCCTCAAGAAATTGGTAAAGATATGACAAAACTCTTTGACATCTCAGTTTCTATTATTTCTTTGATATCTTTAGCAGGATAGGTGATAAAATAATAACATTCTTCACGTTTAGTGGTACACCTCAGTTTATATACTTCGCATCTGTGATGTAATCTTAATAGATTATACTTTGCTATGATTGTTGTTCCCCACAAGAGTGGTGGCCTAGTGGTTAAAGTGTCTGGCTCTCAACCCAAGGATCATGGGTTTGAGACCTAAATGAGTCATGGCCATGTTTCTTCATATGATACCAGTACTGGTTGGTTCAAGAAAGCGGACTCGAAAGTGATTAATATAAGTTGCAAGAACTTGTTCAGCAATCAAGCTTAAATAAATTTCAACCAAACATGAGAGCTTTTTTTTACCCAGTGCATTAAATTCAAGTACAATGTATAATGTAATTTGAAGTCCTATAGAATCAGTAACAAATTCCATTATTCATCTGTCTTGTTATGAGAAGCTGCCATTTTGGACACTTGATATATAATGCCTTATCGTTAACTTTTTGTCAAGTCTTAAAAAATGGTTGTCCTGGACAACAGGAAAAAAGCAATTTTTACCACTATTTTTTCTCCAGTTCAGAATAAAATTTATATAATTATAATCAGTTCAGTTATCAGTATTTATTGAGTAAAGTAATAATTTTTTCTAATTATTTCATTTATACATACAAAAACTACCACCAAGAGACACCATTTAACCAAAGTATACGAAATGATATGGCAAAGACAAAAACAAAGTCATTATAAAGTCATCAAGTAAAATATAGTAATTTCTGACATTTCCTTCCCATTCACAGTTAACTGACTTTTTTTCTAATTGAAAATTTGATCCCCAGACCGTTTTTGGTAATTTGTAACTTTAGCCATCTTGATTGTTCCACTTCCTGTTTTTGGCAGGAAAATTACACCAATTATATCAATAAGACTGCATCCTTGTGTAAATTATAATTGACCAATCAATATAAACATCTGGGTTACAGCACGATTTAGTAAACAAAGTGTCACTGAACACAAACTAAACAGTCTTATATTGTTGTTTTTTTCCATCAAACATTTAACAACATAATGATAATAAACTATACATGCAGCAGGATAAAAATATAAAAACTTTTCTTGATTTTTAGAACGACTACATCTGTATTTTTTGAGTTTTTCCATCAGAAAGAATGCTTTTTCCTTTTTTTTAATAAACAAGCAATATAATTTGTTTTGTTTTTGGGTTTTACGTCACATCCACACAGTATAGGTCATATCGCGACGTTCCAGCTTTACTGGTGGAGGAAGACCTCAGGTGCCCTTCCGTGCATTATTTCAGGCACGAACGAGCACCTGAGTAGAACCACCGACGTTCCGTAAGCTAGCTGGATAGCTTCCTCACATGATAGAATCTAAAGTCCCTGTCAGGATTCGAACCCACAGGGGTGAGGGGCAAGTGGTTTGCAGTCAACGACCTTAACCACTCGGCCACGGACGCCCCAACAAGCAATATAAAATGTACTAATTTAGCAGGTTAAGTTTTACAGTTAAATTTCAAATGCAATGTAATGATGAGTATGCGACTTGAGAAAAACATATTGGAGCGCAGCCTGACCAGGCTTAATATACTTTTGGTAGCTCAATATAAATGGTCTGTCCCAAATCAAAGGATTCACCAGCAGGTTAGTTTCAGTGTAAATTTGTAAATTTTCAAATGCAATATGAATGAAATGTACCACAACAGCTGACCAGGAAACATTCATAATAATCATACAGAGACTAAAATTGACTGTATGTAAAATAACAGGATGTCCGGATTGACACTCATATTTTGACCCCGTCCACAGAGGTCATTTTCTAAAACAATAATTTGTCAAGAGTTTAAAAAAGGCCAATCTGAAGTGAAAATGTTAACACCTACTTATCAACTCTTTACACAGATTGGGCAATTCAGAATTTATAGTTTTATTTATTACTTCTCACTTAATAGGCAGTTATTCCTCATTGTGAACAAATAAAACTTAAATATTTTAAAGGCACTTTTAAAAGTGGAATGCTTTAATGTGAAAGAAAAGAGAAATTTGATATTCTTTCTGTATTTCTATTAAGCTAATACTGAATTTGTTGACAAAAAAAATAATACTCCAAAAAAATTCACTCCAAATAATATAAGTATCCACAGTTCTGTGGTTTTAACTTTTCTGTTTATTAATTCATATTGCTTTTATAAATATATATACAACTGTGAGTTACTGTACTTGAATAAGGTTAGTGGTTAACAAAATGTATATGTATATGTATTTCTTACATTTTTTTTAACTAGATTTCTTTTACATTATTATATACATATTTACAGAAATAACTTTAAATGACTTCATTAAACCCTGGGCAGATCTTTATCAAACGTGGTCTTTGGCATAGATCTGTTATAAGGTCATACTTTAGCCAAAATTAGAGGCCAAAAGAGCTGAACATAGAAAAAGCTTTAAACAACTTCTTATAAATTACTTGATGGATCTTCATCAACTTTAGTCTATAACATTCCTTTACTCTATAAAGACAATCGCTACAGTTTGGCCAAAGAATAAAATAAGTCTGGTTCCGGTGACCCGACCGACCCTAATTTTTACACCCGACCCTAAACTTTTATTCCACTTCTAAGTATGAAATTTATTTACAGGCGAAATGCGTCAAACTCACAAGTAATTGGGTACTGATTTCTCTCATGTGGTAAATATTCCATGGCTTCGATATTAACATGTTTGTAAGCTAAAAAGACTTCTTCAAACAGGTTTTATTGTATGAATTGACATATTCGTTGACACCAAACTGATACCCAAAGTCAATTAACAGTTTTCACGAAAAACTTTTCAAAGTACTAGCCAGACAACCAACATGGCATAACTTACTAGCTCGAAAGGAATTTTGGTAGTCCAAACATATAACTATTTTAAACGTGTATTTTACCCCCACAATGTGGGAGCATATAGCGTTGCACTTGTCTGTCCGTCCCGAAATTTTGTGAACGAAAGTCCTCTTAAACCGGATGGCAGATTTTTCTTAAACTTACAGGGATGAACAACCTTAATCTGTAGTTGGTGGTTAAGGAAGGAATTTTCGCTGCAACCAAATTTAACAGAATTATGGCCCTTTGTTGATTTTTTCACTACATACTATGTAGAATTTTTGTGAACGCAACTCCTCTTAAACGGGATGGCAGATTTTGCTTAAACTTCCAGGGATGAACAACCTTAATGTGTAGATGGTAGTAAAGGAAGGAATTTTTGCTGCGACCAAATTAACAGAATTATGGCCCTTTGTTGATTTTTAGTTTCAACTTGTGGCACATGTAGTCCAAAAAATATTTTACCTAGAATCATAAGATTGACAGAACAGTGGCGTGTGGGGGCATCCGTGTCCTATGGACACATTTCTAGTTTTTAATTGCTTTATGTCAATTTTTTACACAAAACCAGGTTCTTTTTTTTATTTTGTTCATTATACATTATTCACGGAAGAAAATTGCTATCATTGTGTTGACACAATCCTCACTCGTGTCACACTCTGACTCATCTGAGGAATAGCCACCATGAATGGATGGATTCATTACCTGAAAAAGCAAGACATTTCGCATAAATATCTTTTTATTGATTTTGCAAAATATATCGGTCTATTTCATTTTCAAACATTATTTATAAATTCATCAATTATTTTATTGAATTTGTTATTGGCTGTTCCCAGGATAACCACGGATGTCTACTTTAGATGAAACCTAAATCTGTTTACTTCCCTATTAACTTTCTGTAAAGGTCACAGTTTCAAAAGTAACACCAGGTTAAACAGAATGGTTTTCCTTTAGATTCCTGATGTCTATAATTCAGCGTAAGAAAAACTTACCAAGTCTACTTTCAACTGGTGTGTGTAATATCTACACTCATAAAAACGGGTCAAAATATGGTGCTATAGTAGAAAACTCACGATGCAATAGTAGAAAACTCGCACGGCAGATTTGTTTTTGGTAATTTTATACGTATTATCTCAATCTTTTTTACTAGGCTCCCGGACTAGTCATCTAGAGACAATTACTAGTCTGATTTAGGTTTTAACTAGCCTCGGGCTTTGGACTAGTGGCCAAATCTGAAGACTGAATTAAGACTTCAACAGATTTAATTAATTAAAAAATAATTTTGGGCTATTTCAAGGACCCTCTTGTTGATAGTTAGTGACGTTCCAAATATTCTTATTTCATAATGTGTACATCTTGTACTTTCAGTGATGTTAGGAGCCCACAGAAAGCTTCCTCAACTAGTACTTCTGATGAAGTGTTGATCATGTCACCACCATTCAAAAAACTCAAGACAGATATACCAGAAACATCGACATCTGGTGCTCAGTATGTACTCTGTTTACACCAGTTTCCAAATGTTCAGATAAAAAAGGGAGGGAGGGAAGGTTATTGTCAAAGAATCATCACATCCTACTTTTTCACTACCTGTCAGTGTCTGCATTGAAATAAGAAATCTTGTCTTTTGCACAGGGCTAAAATTTAACCTTTTTTGTCTCCCTTGCAAGTTTTGGTAGGTAGCAGAAATTTAAAATTTAACTTTCATTTGTTTTCAAATTACTCATGTACATCTATTTTACTTGTCTGACAAGTCCCTGCCCTTTGTAGATACATCATCAGTTGGTAATACAAATGTATCAATTGAAATGTCATATATTTATGGATATTTTCTTTTTATGGTTCTCACAGAAACCTGCCAGTTTGAGAAAAAAATACTTGCATGTTTCATTTTTACTTCCATTTTGTGAGTTTGTGAAACTTAAATTCAAGCATTGCATTATACCACATAGTTCATGAAGTCCAATGATAAATAGTTTATAATGCAGTCATCTAAATTAGACTTTTGGAATTCTTACTGTATTGCTTGGCATAAAAGTTTTGAACAAGCCCTGCTATATAATATTCAGAATTTGAGCAAGCCCGGAAGACATTTTACCAGTGCACTCGGCTTGCGGGCTTGAGCTAATTTCCACCACTGATAATGTAAAAAAAAATCTGTTGGCCATAAAACACAACTGAACAAATACTTGAATAGCAGTGTGGTTAGAGCACATGAAACAAAACAAGAGGTTATGAGTTCGAGTTCAACATCTATATTGTCTAATTTCTTAAATTTTTAGTCCCGTTTTAGTTTACATAGAAGGGGACTTTGGCCTCTATCGGTCAGTCCGTTTCAAAATGTGGATTCCATGAAAACTCCTAAACAAACAAGCTAGCTCGATGAAAGTTGATATGTGAATAGGTGGCATTATGTAGAGATGACGCATGTCACTTTGGATTATGGTTCAAGTCTGTTGAAGGTCACTTATATTTAAAGTAGAAAATTTTGTTACCTGCCACTACTCAATACAAAACAAACTGAGCTTGATGAAGTAATATGAGAAGTATGGCAATGTTTATTCTCAATGCGTAGATAATATGCATGTTATATATTCAATTTAAGTTCGTGTCATGGTCAACTCTGAGTCTAGTCACTACCCCCCCCCCCCTTCAGAGTCATTGGTGAAAATGAGTTATGACTGACATTTAGTTGTTGTTGAGAAAATGTCCTTTCATTTGAGAAAATTTAATTAAAAATCTATTACAGGTTTGTAACATTTGATCAGCTTGAGGATATCCTGGAGAATTACGTCAAAAAGGCTGAGTTCAGAAGATATCGGAAGAAGTTAGAAAGTCAGGAGCCTGCCAACGATACTGACAAAGAAATTGAAAAAATTATAAGTGAGCAGAAGGGGGCCTTTGAGGCAGGGCTCAAACACTTCTTTACCACTGAAGAAATTCAGAACCACAGTGCTACCGGTAAAAAGGCTAACAAAGACCATGTTGTTAAACCCAAGTTTGATCCGGCAAAATACAACTTAATTAGCAAGCTAGTTCAGAAGCATTTTAGAATAACTCACAAGGAAGTGGTCATTAAGACCCAAAATGTAAAGCGCAAGTATTCTAAGTGACAGCGCAAGTATTCTAAGTGACAATGTTTGAATTATTAGTATTCATGATGAAAATTACATTTGTGTTCAAAAAAAAAAGAAGAAAGAAAAGAAATAATAAAGAGCTTTGTCCAGGGTTCTGATCTTAAAAAGTGTAATTTAATTTTTACCTCGTCTGAGTTCACAGTACTCGAGATGAACTTTTGTGATTTGCCTTTGTCTGTTGACCTGTGCTGTTGTAAAACAATGTCCGTAGCTCTGTTCTTTTGGAAATGTTTGAACATGTTTGAAAATGTCAAAAGTCCCCTTGATTTGGATATATTAGAACATGTTCCACCATGTTATGGAATCTTGATTTTTATATGTTTAAACATGTTTAGATGTGTTTGGATCGTGGTACCATTTAACATGCATGTTTAAACATGTTCCATCATGGTTTGGGGACATTTTTAAACATGTTTAGATGTGTTTGACAGTAAAGTAGTAGTTACATGATCAACCATATTAAAACATGTTCTGTGAACATTTTCAAACATGTCCAAAGCATGATAGCTGGATAGAACAAAAACATGTCAAAATGTGATTGACCATGTTACTCTTTTTTTTTTTGATCATCACATGACTAATCACGATTGTTGACTGATCCTGTTAGATCGTGGTGCCATTTCACGTGCATGTTTAAACATGTTTAAAACATGTTCAAAACATAATTCAAACATTTCGAAATAACATGTTAGAACGTGTTTAAAACATATTAAGACATGTTTCAATCATGAAATTTTCGCTAGGGTACACCACTAACTATTCAATTGTTTTTATTTTCAAAATCATCAAAATCAACTGTTTTCATTAACTTCCTGAAAAATGCAATCACAATAGAAATGTAATAAATTTGATTATTCACTGCACAATAGCAGAGCTTATTCATAATGACAGGCCCATCCCACACCAACATACAGGGATCCAGCCTGCATCTCCCTTCAGTTTAACAACATCCTTAACTGTTGCTTTCTTGATTCAGTTATTTTAAATATTAAACAAAAGGGAGGCTTTAAATTGATAGCAAAGCAAGTTCATTGCAAAAATTTTAAATGAAGAAAAAACAAAATACATGCTAACAATAGGTGTATTATTTAATATACATGTAAGGTAAATCAACATCAGACTGACCATCTTTTGAATAAGACTTTATGTGACAGCTATTTAGTTTGAGTGCATCTATTTACAGTGTTGGAGGACTACACAACTGTATAGGACGTATTCCTGTGTGACTATTTAAACAGTGTTGGAGCACCACACTTGTTAACTGTATAGGACATATTCCTGTATATTCTGAATGGGTGTCTGAGTGATTAAAATGCTAAAATCTATCTTTTTCAGCAACCGAAATGCACTTTAAGTAAGATGGCTAATTTATCTCCTTAAACCAATTTAAATATAATAATGAATTAAAAATGTAAGAATCACCAGAAAAAGCAATATTTTTCTTCTTTGCGATCATGATTTCTGTCAAGTGTTAAGAAGGAATACTACATCAACGCTGTAGTGAATTAAATCCATTAAATTTTCACAAAAAAAGATTACAAAATTTTCTAAATTTTGTGAATATACAGCATATTTTCACATGCTGATACAAGTCTTAGGTCAACACTTGCCTGGCAGACTCAATCTTTTAATACTAGCAAACATGCAAGATCTGACTTGTAAACATGCAAGATCTGCTTTTTAACTTGTTAAAACATCTGCTACTAATTATACCAGGAACTTTTCCCAAAGGAATACTTTAAGTAAGAAATTAGAACTTTTTTATTTTGTTTTTGAAGAAGGTGTACAATACTACAGTTATGTATTACTTTCTAATATTCTTTATTTCCTTTTTTACATTTCTACTGTTTAATTTTAAGAAACCCGTCTTCAAAATGTACATTGTATATTTCTTACTTTACAAATCAAGGTGGTCCCATGTGCTATAGGGCATAAAACATTATATATACAATGTAGTTGTCAAATTTTGATCAAGTCTAGGAAAGTGTTGTGTTAAAAAGTGTTCAAGTGTTAAACAAATTTCTGGAACATCTTCATGCAAATCTATATAAAATGACTCTGAATGTAAAGATATTTTTTTATAAAATAATATTATAAAGCCAGAAGCAGAATCATCATGTTTCAAACTGTTGTACTACTACAAAATGCACAAAGAGTTCATTTTTCATATAAGTCCTTACTTATGAAAACTAGACTTGGTACTGATCATTCTGAATTGATGAAATTGCATCCGTAGTTTCTGAGAAGTAGTCCAGTCAAGTTTTGTGACAAACGGACAGACAGACAGACAACGGAGAAGTGATCCCTATATGTTGCTGCTAATCTGTAGCAGGCGTCACATAAATGATACTCTTATAAATTGCCCCACTTTGGTTTACTCTGATACTAGAAAAAAATTCTATAAAAAGGTTTCGGAACAGGTCTTTGTAATATGGGCATGGGCTTTTATAGCAGCATCACAAAGAGTAAGCCCTGAATTCAATAGGTGAAATTACAGTTCCTCTGAAGAGCTGAACAACTTGCAGTGTGTCTCATCAAAACTTAAACAATCTTTGAAATGAACATACAGAAAATGTAAATCTTTTTGATATTTGGAATCATTTCGATTTACTATTTAGCCATCGGATGGTAATGACAAAATTTTGGCTGTTCAAAACCTACCTAACTGCAAAACAACCCTTATTTTCCCATCAAGCAGTTCATAAGAGGGCATCAGCCTCTCTGATACCATTCTTATCACCTGTTATTTCACTGTTAATAGGTGGCTAGACCTGTTAATTAATAACAATAACTGTTATGATTCACAATTAATCACCCTAACAAGCCGTAACTAGCTCGCTCCTCTACCCCATTACACCATGTTTTATTACAGTGTTTATTATAGATATAACCCTAATCATCTCAGGTGTATATCAGCTACTTATATCCCTGGGCAATACTTCACTCATGGATTAAGGATTATCTCTCTCCAGCTGTTGTATGTTATGAGAGAAAACATATGGCCATCATCTTCAATTGAAAAATCGTACATTTCATCAAGACTTTATTTAACTTCTGAAAAATGGAGAGATCTTTGTCTGTGAGCATCTGGTAATTTCTAGAACGTTGAAAGTTTCTGACTATTCTTGTATAGCAGTAACAAGTTTTTTTGTGAATTTGTTCCTGTATGTTGCTTTACAAGAATGACTAATATACATGTTGTTTCATTTGGATCAATTTCTTTTCCTTAAAAGTTGAAATTATATTTTAAATTTTGTGCCATTTTTCTTAGTTTTCTAATTATTTTTTTTTATTTAAAGAGTGGATATGGTAGGGGTTTCTTTTGTCCCTTTTTTATTTGTGGTGGTGGGGGTTTGTGTGTGTTTCAGGGTGAGAAAAATGTGCAGCCTGACTGGGACTTGAACCCGGGACCCTTGGAATACTGTACCACGGCTTTACCGACTGAGCTATTTGGCCGTTTACACATATTTTTCCCTAAATAGTGAACAGTTTTGAACCGTGACATATTCCCCCGCTATATTGAAATTTGTTTTTGAATTTTTAATGGGTAAAGAGAACAATGTGAAATTTAACTTGGAGCTTATACCATTATGGTCCCCCGTTGGGCGCCAAATGTTACAGGGTGAGAAAAAAAGTGCAGCCTGACCGGGACTTGAAACCAGGACCCTTGGAATACCGTACCGTGACTTTACCGACTGAGCTATTTGGCCGCTAACATCTTTTTCCCCTAAAAAGTAAACAGTTTTAAACAGTGACATGTGGTCAGGGGATGAATGAGGTTTGGGCGAGTCTGCTTATTGGACAATCCCAAACTAAAGTCATAAAAGGAAGCCTGGACATGTATGCAATGTAATGTAGCACTTAAGCAGTACACTATCCCAGAGTTTGATCAAATGATGGCAAAAAACTGAAAAACTGAAGATAAATTAAATGTTGTAATTTCTGGCACTAAACCTAAATAATCAAACCAACTACTATTAATATTGACGTCTTTAATAACTAGCTTTGAATTCATACAAGAACTATTCTATAAGCAGGGACATGAAGTATTCTAAAAGCAGAGACATATGTAGACATTTTTTTAAACTTCAGACCATGAAGTGTGAACATTCCAGAAACTACTCAACCCTGTAATTGATTTCAGATACTTTGATATTATATATCTGACATTCTGGCATTGACTATGGACTCAATTTTCCTAATTTTTGAGTCGTTTCCAAATAACCACATGTTTTACTGAGAGCAAAAAAATTGAACATACATGTAGATAATAGGTAAGTAATCACTATAATATGAATAGAATTATGTTTACTAATTAGTTTTGTTCTCATTCTATCATCTAATGACTTTACACATTGTTATTATACTAAGCTCTCCTATAATCACATGGAAAGATGCCTCAGTATCTTCATATACCTTAGCGTCACAACTTCTTGGCTTGAATTTTAAAATCATGACACACATCATAGAGGATAATGAATGAGTGTAAGTTTAATACTGAATTTATTGAAGGAGTTGGATAAAATTATATTATGCAAGACTCTCATATAATTTTCAATAAATTCAGTAATGAACTTTCACGAATTTAATATTCTATTTATCACATACCAAAAACAAAGACCCTTTGAAGTGAAAAATAATCATTTTACATTGACTCGCCTATAGTATAATGCTAACTTTTTGCATGTCTTAACGCTTCATGTATGTTTGTATAACGCAAATGACGTCACATCAAAATATATGCATGGCCGTGCAATACCATTTTATTGGAGTTGCAAAAGCGGCACAGGTATGTGATAAAACATTGATATGAGCACTTTTATATAAAGTTTTAAGTATTCTCATAAATCCCATCATCAGAACATCTGAGTCCATCATGGTAGAAGTCACCTATATAACTTAGTGTACTCTCAAGTCGTTGTTCTCTTAAGCGAAAAACTTTACACTCATTGCTCAGTACTGTTCAGTTCCAGGAA